AAACTGCCCCCCAGGACCCTACCCCCTACCCGTACCCTGACTGCCCAAAACCTTATCCACACCCCCTCCCAGAAAGCCCCCCCCCTCCAGAACCTCCCTGCCCCTTCTCCGACCCCCTGGCTCCCTTGTTGTTGGCCTTCGGTTTGCCTAAGGTCTCTCTGGGAGCTTGCTGAGTCTGAGCCGTTCTTCCGGCACGCTGGCCAGCAGCGGGGGAGGAGCTCCAGCCTGCCGGAGGCGAATGCAGGGAGGGAGGGAGTGAGTGAGTGAGCTATGCTGCAGGGGGGCGAGGGGGAAGTGGAGGAGGGACTCTCTCTCGCTGTCGGAGCCACATGTAAGTGGCACCATCCGGCTGCCCTGTTAGCCGCGCGTGCTCTGCATGCGGGGAGGGAGGGAAGTCCGGACATTAACAAATTCCCCCCGGACGCTATTTTTACTTCAAAAATCCGGACATGTCCGGGGGAATCCGGACGAATGGTAACCCTAATGGTACCCTCCCCTACACACAGGGATTGGCCAGGGGGCCAACCACTCTGCACCATCATTTGCCCTCTCCAGTGTTATTTTACCTCCACTGCAGCTCACTGTACTTGCCATCCTTCTCCAGGCTGCAGAACTTCCATTACTGGGAGGGACCTAAGCCAATGGGTTAAACCATCTGGCGATATGGTTCTCACAGGAAGTATGCTACTAAGGCCTGGAGGAAGTTGAGAGCCAGTATGGAAATAAGGCCTGCACATAGAGGGCCCTGGCCTCCATGGATCTTGGGTGAGATTTTGGCAACAAACCCCATTACTTCTGCCCACAAGGACAGTCCACCCCCAAATGAGAGAATGTAAAGGAAGTTTCCGTTTCCTAGGCAGAAACAGCACATGCAGGCAAGGGCATGGCCTTCTGAAACATTTAAAACACAAAGGTTTCAGACTATCCCCATTCAGTCACTGAGTTGAACCTCCAGCAGCATATTCAGAGTAAATCTAGAATTTTTTCTTTCTTTATTGGTTTCCTCAATAAACTTTGCAGTGTTTAACAAATAACCTTTTACCAACCTGCAAGATGAACCAAAAAAGATCAGTTTAATAAAAAAAAAAGAAAAACAGAAATGTTTTGCTGAAACAAAACTATTTTATTCCTTTAAAATAACCTGTTTGATTGCTGTGATGTTTCTATACAACAGTTTTCCTATTCATTTTTATTATGTGTTTTGCTTTACAATATTACACTACTCTGCACTTC